GCACACCTTCTGACCCTGACCCCCTTTACCTGCTGTGTGTGTTTTTGTTTTTGTGTGTGTCTGATTTTACCACCATGACAGTTTTATGTGTGTGTGTGTGTGTGTATGTGTGTCCCACTTTAAAGATCAGATAAACTGTCCAAAGAGAACAGACATGATAAGAGTTAATTTAATAATTAACGTCATAAAAGACTTTAGGAGGACAAACAGAAGCAGACTGAACAGGTGAGTTTGTCAGAGACAGGTGTGTGTGTGTGTGTGTGTGTGTGTGTGTGTGTGTGTGTGCAGGTTCAACACTGAAGCTCAGGAGGTTCTCAACTCGACACCAACTAGAACCCCAGAAAACCGTAGCTCTGAGCGTCACTGTAAAGAAAGTTCTCTCCGTCTGAAAGTTCAGAGACTCTGAGGTTTCCAGCTCTGGAGAAGTAGAAGAAGAAGAAGAAGACGTTTCAGTTCAATCAGAGCGGCGAGGAGCAGATTCAGAGGTCAGAGGTCATCTGTCTGTTTTCCATCCTGGTCCGTATGATGGTTCCATCCCATCTTCACTCCCACCCGGACCCTCAGGTCTGCCCCCGGCCCGTCTGTCCACCACAGGATCCAGAACCTTCAGCCTCCCTCCCCCTGACATGAGGAACATTGGCTGACTCTCCATCTTTAGATCGTGTCTCTAAACTCAGTATTTCAGACAGACCTGCTCAGACTAACATCTGATGTTCTGCTGCAGAGTCTGACCGCACCACTTTTTATTTAACACTTTGTTGTTTTTTATCATTTTACTTTTCTACTGAAGGGTCTTTTTATTATTATTATTATTATTATTATTATTATTATTATTATTATTATTATTATTAATGTTCAGGTCACTGTTGTAATCACCTCTCAGTCTCAGGACTTCCTGGTCTCTGATTGGACCATCCTCTGCTGAGATCAGGACCATAAACAGAGGGAATAAATCAGCTGACTTTAACCCGACCCTGTCCGCTCCATCAGAGTTGTCTCTGCTGTGAAAGTTTATCTTTCATTTAAACATAAATTTTAATTAAAATAAACGTGTCACTAAATTCATGTGTTCACCTTTATTTAGCCTTAAATCTACGTTCATGTTTGAGCTGATGGTTTAACTGAACTCTGTCTGTCTGTCGACGTGAAGCGGAGCTGCTGTTTGGTTCCTGTCTGATCTTTATCGTCTGTCCTGGTGGTTTCTGCTGAGCTGTGGTTTTAACTGCTGAAACTGAAAAAAGGAAAAAACAGAAACTTATGAAACTCAAGGAGAGACCGAACCAGAGCGGAGGACTGGAGACGGAGCGGGATCATCTAAACACTGACATTACTATTATTATTATTATTATATTATTATTATTGTTGTTGTTGTTGTTGTTGTTGTTTTGATTATTATCATTATTATTATTATTAATTTGATTATTATTATTATTATTATTATTACTATTATTATTATAAATTATTATAATTATTATTATTAGTATTATTATTTTTATTACTATTATTATTATAAATTATTATTATTATTATTATTATTGTTGTTGTTGTTGTTGTTGTTGTTGTTTTGATTATTATCATTATTATTATTATTAATTTGATTATTATTATTATTATTACTATTATTATTATAAATTATTATAATTATTATTATTAGTATTATTATTTTTATTACTATTATTATTATAAATTATTATTATTATTATTATTATTATTATTATTATTATTATCATTATAATAATAATAATAATAATAATAATAATAATAATAATAATAATAATAATAATAATTTGATTATTATTATTAATATTATTATTACTCTTATTAAAGAGTCAGGTATATCACTGAGATGAGAGATAAATCATCTGCGTAGCGTGTTAGGTTAGATTAGGGCAGATAAGTTTGAAGTTCGGGCAGATTTATTCATCCAACATTTCAGCAGGAAGACAAAGTGACAAAAAAAAAAAAACAACAGAGGTCAGAAAAAAAACAGAAACAATCACTGAAATATCAGAGAAGAAGAACAACAAAACCAAGTAATTAAAATAGAAAAAATAAACAAAAATGTGTAAAAAAGAAACTCCTGCTTCTGTTAAATGAGACAAAAATAAAATACAAAAAATCTTGTTGGGAAAAATCAAAAATTCAGACTTTTATTAATGAGAATAAATTCTGTGAATCTGATGAAAACTAAGACTGAGGAGGAACAAAATAAACAGCGGAGTAAACCTTTAAATGATTAATAAGAGATAATAAAGAAAAAATCTCAGGTGAAAATAGAAAAGTGCAGCAGATTTACAAAGACAACAAAAATTAACAAAGAAAACTGGAGACTTTGAACAAATGTCTGAATTTACAGATTTTTAAACTCAGATTAATGTTCTGGGTGGAAACCTTCACTTTTAATATTTGTGTTCATGAATGTTTTTATCTCTTTATATTACAGTCATGGAAACTCTTTAAAGTTTTTCTTCATTTTCATTTATTTGTCGTTTTCCTCCACGTTTCTCAGATCCTCAGATTAAAGATCTACTTTGACAGAAAATTAGTTTAAAATAATATCTTTTTATTTTTCAGCTTTAAGATCATTTACTCTTAAACAACGATAAGAAAGTTTAAATCCAGATTAATCCGGATTATTGGGGTGAATATTTTATCTTTACTGTCCGCTCATCATTTTTGAAGCAGGTAAAAAAATTCAGTTGTTCATGTTTTTGATCGCTCACTCCATCGTCCATCATCCTGACGTCTCTCCTCAGCTGGACGGAGGAGCTCCAGGTCTTTTCCTCCAACATGGTGGTCTCAGTTTTTCAGATGAGGACGGCTCTGATGGTGAAGAGGGTGCTGAAGGCCAGGGTCTTAGTGAAGACCACCCTGACCCCGTTCAGGACCAGCATGTGGAAACTCAGTTTGGCCTTTTCTGTGGATGAGAAGAATGAAACCGGATCAGTCTGAGGTCAACATGAGGATCCAGGACCTGAGAGACAGAAGGTCAGGTGTTCAGGTGTGTTTGGTTACTCACCTGGATGATGATCAGCGCAGCGCTCGACTGGAGGGTGAAAAAACAAAAAAGACAGAAAAAACAGATTAGGAAGTTTTGACCCGTTTGGTTGGTCCTCTATCAGAACTTGATCTGATCTCTGATTGAATCTGGTTCTTGTTACCGTGGTAATTGTTGGCGGAGGCGCCGTGCAGCTCACAGGACAGGAGGGTCTTGTTGGAGAACCCGACGTAGCTGTGGGTTCCGTCTTTCGTGGACATGGGGGCGCTGGTGGTGTTCATAGAGACCTGACCGTCTTTCTCATTCAGGTCCATCTCGCCATCCTGAGGACGGAAACCTGCGGCCAGACACACCTGGTCCCCGACCCGGTCCAGAGGAACCCCCTCCGGCTGCAGAGGGTTCAGGACGAAGAGAGCCGGAGGCACAGGAGTCCGATCTGAAACAAGATCAGGGGAATCATGTTTGAGGACAAGATCTAATCACTAATATAAGAACGTTTATTTTTGAACCGGGACACAAACGATGGAAAAACAAAAAAACAAAAATCAGACTTTTTGAGTTTCAAAGTTTCAAAGTCGCTCATTTTTCATTTTCATACCTTATTACATTCAGTTCATATTTAAAACATTCAATACAAACAAGTAAAAATTCACTCTGTTTAAACATTTTGTTAGTTTTCAGTGTCTTTGAAAGCGTTTCAAGCTCTCACTGTGACTGTTTTATAGTTTGTTTTTAACATAAAAGAGTTACAGAGTTTTTCAACTGATACAATAAAATAATCAAAATCAGAACAAAAATTAACATTTAAAAAAATCAACGTTATATTCTGAGTATCTTCTAGTTTTACCTTCACTTCTCCACACTTCAACACAGTCGGTCAGATATGGATCAATAATCCAATTATTGAAGAGGTACAAATCTTTATTATTATCAAAGTCGTCCTTAACTTTGATCGTTTTTGTTATTTTCACTTTGATTCCATGAATAAACTCGAACAAATCAGTCTGAATATTCCTGTTCATGTCGTATTTGTTTCAGTAAACATGCGTCAAATCTCGTCTCATTCATCGATTGTTGTCAGAGAGTTTTACTCTCAGCTCGACATTCATGGGAATTATGAGTTATTATGAGATCGTAGAGTTTTGTATTTTCAGCTCATTTTACCAAAAACATCTTGTTCCCTTCGACACGTTAACAGTTCATCATGTTACAGGATTTCGTCACTTTGAGACAAACAGGAGGACCGATTTCCATTTCCATTTGAGACATGATGAATTTTTACTTCTTTGTTCAAACTTTTTAAATCCTATTTAAAAAAAATAAAAACAGTCTCAGAACTTTCAGAAACTCTTCTCTGGTTTTTGTTTTTACAGAATTGTTTTTGGACCGTCCTCTTCTAATTTATTTTTATTTCATTTCTGCTCAAATTTCAGGAACTTCAAGTTAAATTTGTTGATCAACATAATTTTATCAACTATAATTAATCTTTAATATCTACATTCAACTACATTCAGTGTCAACAACAGAAGACCTCACCATTTTAAAGAAAATGTGATTTTAATTGTTTTAGACTTTAAGTCATAAAATCTGATCAATATTATATCAAAACACTGAACCGCAGATTTCTGTCAGACCTGTTTCATTTGGAGTCTGTTCAATAATTTTCTGCATCTTTTATAAATCAATTAAAGAGCTGAAATCACTCTGGACTTTAAATCAATAAACTCGTTTAGATTCATTTCTCCAGATTTAAAAAATCTAGTTTTCTGGTGTTAGTGGATGTCAAATCAGTCCAGTTTTCCACTAAAATCCCTTTTTCACTTCTGTTTTTACCTCCACAATTTTAAGACCATTGAGTTTTAATTTCTTGTACAAATTAATTTAATCGTTCTGACATTGATACTCATCATTATAAAATCAATATATAAATTTTTCTTGCTCAAACATGAGAACAAGTTACCGAGCTGTAAAAGATCAAATATTTTGAGGAATTTTAAAAACCTCTGGTTCACTAAAAAAAGCTGAAATTACTGTAAAAATTCTGTTCACTTTAGTTTTCAAACTTTTTCAGACTTTTAGAAACTCTGAAATAATTTAGTTTTAGTGGATGTTAAATCACAGCTCAGTCTTCTCCTTAAAAGCCTTTTAATCTTCTGTCTTTCACTTTTATATCATTTAAGAGCTTTTGGCAGCAGATCCTAAAATCTGAACTTTGTCAGACTTAAGTTGAGACTTATTATTACTGATATAAAAACTTTTTTTGTCTTCTTGCTTTAATTTAGACCAAACAAGAGATCACACCAAAACAACAGAAACGATATTTTAACCATTTTTAAGCCTCTTAAGTCATAAAATCTTTCTCTATCATTTCTGTAATTATTTACCGATGAACTCAGTAAATCATATTATATACTTAAAAACTGTTGTTAGACTGAGACTAATTCTACTGCAAAACAAAAATCTAAAACCAATCAAGAGACACAAATTTACAGTCGTTAAAATGCTTTTATGTTTACAAAATTTAAAAGACTTCAGATAAACATTAGAGCTGAAATCTTCCTGGAGTTTTAACTTCGTGAGCGACTTTGTTTTATTTCTAGTTAAAAGTATTTGTAATGATCACTTTAAGTCACATTCACAGGTCTAAACAATGGTTCAGAAAATTTTAAAATAGAAGTTAAGTTTGATCAAATTTCAAGAACTTGACAGATCGTTTTTTCCTGCCTGTTCTATTCGCCTAAAAACACGTTTTTTAGAGAAATAAAAACACTGAGATTTGATTTTCAGTCAGTAAACTTAAACTCAGTTTTAAAACCCAGTCAGATTTTGAAAGAGGTTTTTTTTTTGGTCTCAGAGAAAATTTAATAACTCTAGTTTTTTGATTAATGCTTATTAATTCTCCTCCTCTTGTTTATTAATATCTTAATAAAAAAAATAAGTCCTGTTTGTTGCATTTTCTTTTATAACTTAATCACACTTATCATATTTATTATTTCTTATCTTTGAAAAAACTTTTTCTTCCCTGAAAACAAATAACAAACTTTATTATATTAAAAGCTCTTAAAGCAGTTTTAGTTGATTAAATCCATTAAACTCTGTGTCAATATTTTACTTTAAACTTCACTGTGTTGAAATATTTTGTTAATTTTCAGTGTCTTTGAAAACGTTTTAAACTCTCACTGTGACTTTTAAGTTTTTTTTTTTTTACCTAAAAGTGTTTAAGAGTTTTTCAACTGATAAAATAAAATAATCTAAGTCAGAACAAAAATTACCATTTAAAAAAATCTACATTATATTATGAGTATCTTCTAGTTCTTATCCTCGGGGGTTTAAAAGAATGAATATCGGACTTTACGAAGTTTCTTTAAGCGAAGCTTTTTAAAAATCTTTAAAATGTCGGCAGTGAAAATCTTTACGTTTGGACTTGATTGTGTTTTAGACTCTTAAAAGGTCACGTTAAGGTTCCTTTAGACTGCTCTTGTTTTTTAATTAATAAGATTTTTAGGATTTTCTCTCTGTTGCTTTTACAGACACTTAAGTGAATAATTTTAAGACATTTCCTCGTGTAAACGGCGATTTTAGCGGCATTACCGGAACAACACCTCAGCTACGCAGATGTTTTTTGTCTATCTCATGATTTTCTCACATTAAACTTCATTTCTGCTCTCAGAGAAAATAACAAATGGGCTTCAAAAGATTTCAGCTGGGACCTTTTAACCTTTAAATCAACAGGAAACATATTTTAAAGCTTTTTGAGGCATTTTGAGGACGTAGTATCACAGCTGCAGTCTGGAAGGACGTCTGCAGCCTTGTTGGTCTACAGTTAAGGTTCTGATCCAGTAAATTTACGTTTTAAACACAAACCTGACGTCCTGACCCTCTGTGTGTTTTAAAAGGGAATAATCCTGATCAGATCAGCAGGTTAAAAGGCTTTTTTCTTACCTTTTGGATGCACAGTGAGACGGATCGCCTTTCCAAACACCAGAGCGTCCCAGTGATACAGCCTCGTACAAAAACCTCAGAGCTGCTCATGGTCCTCAGAGAGGTCCGAAAAACATGAAAATCCATTTGAAAGTGCTGTGCACTGAGCTGGAAGAGGAGGAGGAGTGAACACGGACAGGTGGAGGTGAGTGTGTCTGATAAATGTGAGAATAATCCACATTTCTGCAGCTCTGCAGCGAGTGTCTGCGCCGAAGAGTTCAGAGGTTTGAAGGTTTTTCTGTGAAAAAGACAGAGCTGAAGACTGACCTGAAGCTCACCTGAGTGTGGTCACTGCTCTGGTTCTTGTTTATCCGTTTGTTCTGGAAGTTTCCTCAGAGAAAAGTTCAGTTTAGAGCAGACTGGAGGTTTTTGTTCAGCTCTGTGTGGACTCTCAGTCATGGTGTATCCCAAGTATATACACAGTGAAAAACACTCGTACAAAAACCTCAGAGTCACAGGAAACAGACGAGTTTCACCGACGGCGAAAGGAAACAGACGAGTTTAAGGTTTCCACACAAAAACAGAATATTTCTACAGAAAACAGAGTCTTTTTTTTTTTTTACTAGTTTAGAGTCGGAGTCAAAACAAAGATATTCAGATGTTTTTCAGTGATTCAAAAAACTGAAACTTTTCTACATCAGCTTTCAATTTTCTTAAAAGTATGAAATTAATAAAAAGTAATAACGAAAAGAGTAGATAAATACAGTTAATGACAAATATATAGAGCAACAACCAGAACCAGAACCAGAAGACTTTATTAGTCCTGGAGGTCAGTTGGATAAATAACTAAGATCAAACTTTACAAACGACAGAAACGAAGGATGGAAATTCAAACCAATGAAGACAAAAATCTGACTTTAAAATCATTTTACAGACCAAACTAAGTTCAATAAAGCTGCAGTTCCTTTAGTGGCCACAGGAGGCTATTTCCGAAACTGAGTCCATCTCCATAGAGCCCCATGTTAAAGTGTCCACCTTCATGGACATCCTCTGTCTCTGAAGTCTCTCTCAGTCGATGTTTTCAGGACATCATCGTAGCTGTTAGCGCTCGCCACGCCACTGAGGACTTCTTCGGAAACCAAGACCAGTACCAGCTGGATCTGGGTCTCAGCTGGTTCTGAAACCTGGAGCTGTTCCACTCATTAAAGGGATATTCCCCCAATTTCCACCTTCATCCTGATCGTCTCCTAAAAGGTCGTATCCTCCGATCGTAGCTGATCGTAACCATTCAAGTTAACGTGTCAATTTACACCGACTTCTTTCCGTTCCTCTGCGGATCGCCGGACTCCTCAGCTGATCACAAGAGTTCTATTTTTTCTGGACGCCGGAGCATGGCGGATAAATTCAGCACAGATTAACCCGTGCTGGAAAGGAAGTCGGGCACAGACACAAAATAAAACATCCGGCTTCTTTTCAAAATAAAACACTCCGTGTTTCAGGAGGATCGTATTTCACACCATGCAAACGGGCGGAGACGAACAAGTGAAAGGTTTTTAGACGTCATTTCACCCCGATGACACCATGGATGAGGAGATGCTGATTCTAGAAGTCTAGAAGTAGATTTCCTCCTCTGGAAGGACACAATCTACTGCTTATATGTCTATGTGTCTGTCTTTACAGAGACAAGTCGTTATCGTGAGATTGAACGTGAATCTGCGGGTCCTTGTGAGTTCTTTTGATTCCTGCTGTCTGTAATCCGCCATAAAATTTGCCTCACAAACGGATCCAGTAGGAATTGGTGGACGGCGAAATTCGTCACCATTCCAGATTTGGTGAAAATTTACTGTTCTGGTATAAAATTAAGTCGTGGTCAAACCCACCGTAACACCGAGTTAGACCCCCCCCTCCAGAGATGAATGTTGAATGATAAAGAAATGGTCATAAATGTTCTTCCTTGAGCTGCGGCACCCCGCTGTAGTCCATAGTGGACTGGCCTGAGGTCTCTCTACAAACAAGCGTCTGCTGGAAGAGAGTAGGTGAGTTGTGTTTAGTCTCTTTGCTAAAGAAATGAGTCAAAGTTAAAAAGATGTTTGGTGTCTAGTACTATGTCTGTGACCCTATATGTCCTGTTGATGAAGTTAGGTGCTGTTCTGAGCATTATTTGTGGATATAGAGTGGCGTTTTGGTTGGGGGCGTGGCTCTCTGTATTTCTATCCTGCGGTCGTTACTAAAGTTGGTATAACTAGAGAAGCAAGCGGTCGCCAACATTCATCTCTGGAGGGGGGGTCTAACTCGGTGTTACGGTGGGTTTGAACCTGAATTAATGTTAGGACGGAATATCCCTTTAAGAGTCTAAAAGGGGAGTAAAGTAGGTGCCTGAGACTCGGCTCAGTTTCTGTAAAACCAGAACGAACGTGTCGTTTCTTGACTTTAATACCGTGTAAAAAGTCCCAAAATTAAGTCTTTAATTAAATTCTGCTCCGAGTCTCTTTTTCTGCCCGGTGATAAAAATCATCCCAGCTGTCTGATATACTCTGTGTGAGGTTACAGGGCGTACAGTCTGGACCCGGCTGCCCCTATTTCAAGCAGACTCCTCTGACAGAGTCTCTGGGAGGTTTTTGTCGAGGTCTCAGACCGACTTCTCTCACTGTGCCCTCGTAACACGGTGAAAAACACTCGTACAAAAACTGTTGAACTGTTTCTCTATGGGAGCAGCTGAACGCGGCTTGAGGTTGATTTCCCATCAACCCCTGCGGTCTGTTTGAAAAGCGACGCGTTCTTATCTGATGAGACTCGACCGCCGACTGAAAACAACACAGAAAGGGTTTCTAACCTTTGGTTCCTGTTAGTTTGAAGCTCCATCCAGCCGACTTTGTCTCCAAAACAGACATGCAGAGAAGAGTTCATCAAATAATCTTTTTTTTTTTTTTTAAACATTTTTTTAATTTTTTACAATTTCAGCCCAAATCATTAAAAAATATTAAATACAAAATTCAATGTATTTTTCATAAGAACGAGCAAATTAATGGTTTTTCTGTTTGTTTCAATTAAAGTAGACTCAGTTTTAATTAAAGCAGACTCAGTTTTAATTAAAGTAGACTCAGTTTTAATTAAAGCAGACTCAGTTTTAATTAAAGTAGACTCAGTTTTAATTAAAGTAGACTCAGTTTTAATTATGTAGACTCAGTTTTAATTAAAGTAGACTCAGTTTTAATTAGAGTAGACTCAGTTTTAATTAATGTAGACTCAGTTTTAATTAAAGTAGACTCAGTTTTAATTAAAGTAGACTCAGTTTTAATTAGAGTAGACTCAGTTTTAATTGGAGTAGACTCAGTTTTAATTAAAGTAGACTCAGTTTTAATTAAAGTAGACTCAGTTTTAATTAGACTCAGTTTTAATTAAAGTGGACTCAGTTTTAATTAAAGTAGACTCAATTTTAATTAAAGTAGACTCAGTTTTAATTAAAGTAGACTCAGTTTTAATTAGACTCAGTTTTAATTAAAGTAGACTCAGTTTTGATTAAAGTGGACTCAGTTTTAATTAAAGTGGACTCAGTTTTAATTAAAGTAGACTCAGTTTTAATTAGAGTAGACTCAGTTTTAATTAGACTCAGTTTTAATTAAAGTGGACTCAGTTTTAAAGTACCATCAGTTTTAATCAAAGTAGACTCAGTTTTAACTAAAGTAGACTCAGTTTTAATTAGACTCAGTTTTAATTAAAGTAGACTCAGTTTTGATTAAAGTGGACTCAGTTTTAATTAAAGTGGACTCAGTTTTAATTAAAGTAGACTCAGTTTTAATTAGAGTAGACTCAGTTTTAATTAGACTCAGTTTTAATTAAAGTGGACTCAGTTTTAAAGTACCATCAGTTTTAATTAAAGTAGACTCAGTTTTAATTAGAGTAGACTCAGTTTTAATTAGACTCAGTTTTAATTAAAGTGGACTCAGTTTTAACTAAAGTAGACTCAGTTTTAATTAAAGTGGACTCAGTTTTAATTAAAGTAGACTCAGTTTTAATGGATTGGACTCAGTTCTAAATAAATTAGACTCAGTTTTAAATGACGTAGACTCAGTTTTAAGGGAGAAACTGTTTATTTAAAGGCTGATTCCACCATTTCTGCGTCTACAGAGACAGAAACACAAAAAGCTCAGATGTTTCACAAACCGCTGGTCTGCAGTCGACCCTCCAGGATCCACCGCTGCAAACATCTGAGTCAGCAGATCCTGGTCCGTTCTTTATCCACAACAGCAAGAAGGCAACCAGAACCAGAACCAGAACCAGAACCAGAACCCACTCAGATCCACATGTTGAGCCTTAAACATGAAAATAAACTGGATTTTTTTTTATTGTTCCTCGTTCTTCTGGCCGATTCCTCGTCACATTCATGGATATTTTAACGTTTTCATTTTTACAGTTTTGCAAAAGCAACATGAAGAAGAAGAAGAAGAAGGAGGAGAAGAAGAAGGAGAAGAAGGAGAAGAGCACAATCACAGAGAAAACCCACGTCTCTTTGAGTCTGCTTTCATAAAACACCCTCAGCAGGGAAATTAAAACCAGAGAAACTCAATCAGCTGCTCAGGAAGGGTTCAGGTCCAGACTCTGAGAGTCCAGACTCCTCTCTTCTGATTGGTTAAAAACAAACCAGGACTGACAGCGGGGAAATGCTTCACAAGAATGAAAGAAACCAACCGCACTTCAGCCCGAATCACTCACAGGAACCTTCCAATGAAACGTCAATAAAAGTCAGAGGAAGTGGATTCAGGGTCCGCCTCTGCTCGCTCCTGTCAGACAGAACTCAGGGCAGAAAAAAAACACCAAACAGTCCGAAAACTGGATCCAGCTGCTCCGATCGGAAAACGGACGTTTTGAACGATTCACTGAACAAACTAAACAGGAAACTCAGAGACTTTCACAATAAAACGTTAATTAATTAAATATATTTTTTCTATCGAATGATTCGAGATGAAGGTGAAACTGATCGATTTCAGCTCCCAGGTCTGTCCTCCGCTCCATAATCCTGTCTGAGTCTGGATCTGCTGGGACGACTTTAGAGAACTTTGGAGAGTTCAGGACGAGAACCTCGACCGTCTGCTGCACAGATTCTCCAACACGGTTCAGGTTTGATCAGGTTCCTGGAGTTCCAGGGACTTTTATTTTGAAAGGAGCTTCAGGAACAGTTTGGATGAACAGCTTCTCAGTTTGACGCTCTCACTGGTTTCCTCATGTTCATCATTCATGATCAGAGAGGAGACTCCTGACTCACTTATCTTGGCAGTTTGAACCCAAAAACTCGGGTTTGAACCCTAAATGAGAGGACGACAACGACAACAACGACGATCGACTGCTGCAGCTCTAAAGTCCCGTTCACTGTCAGGTTTTATCAGGATACCAAGGAGGAGAAGATCTTCTGAACTCTAAGGTCCTTTGAGCTCCTAAGTTTGGGTCTTGAAGTTTCAGGGTCTTTTATTTTGAAAGGGAACTCCAGCAGAGGTTAAGATGAGCAGCTTAGAAACATTTACAGTTTGTTCTCAGTAAAAAAAAAAAACATGTGATGGCGTTTGTTCGGAGCAGACAGGAGCAGGACGTGGAACGGTCAGACTAAAGGACGTTCAGAGAAACGCTCTTCTGCCGCCGAACCTCCAGGAGGAGCTTTTCTGATCTTCAGGTTTAACCAGGACAACAAGAGGAGGTCTTTTAGCTCCTCCTGAGTTTGGGTCTTTTGGTTGGTGGGGCTTTTACTTTGAAAGGAGCTTCAGGAACAGACTGACTGAAGGTGAAGCTGCAGAGAAAAACCGAGGAGTCGAGCTGCAGGAGGAGGAGATGGAGGACAACCTTCAGGCTGACGTCTACCTGTCCACACCTGCTGCTGCTTCAGACGAGTAAAAAGGCAGAAGAAGAACCAAAGGAAGAGTAAATGCAGGTTAAATAAGCGAGCAGGTTACAGCTTCAGTTTTTTTTTTTTGTTTTTTTTTCTCGGTTAAGTAAAGAAAGAACAGGAAGTAGAACCAGAGAGGAAGAGAACGCAGAAAAGATCGGAGCAGGCAGGAAGCGAAGAGTCATACCTGCTCGCACCTCCGAGGGCGAGAAGCTAAAACTGCTACGAACAAATCACAAAATACAGTCGGTTTAATATCGGCAATCTCTTGAAGCTAAAGGTTAAACTATCCCTAAGAGTGACTGGGTTGGATGGTCTTAGCCCCGCCCCCTCCTGTCCCTCTGGTCCTCTCTCAGCAGGACGCCGCCGTATCGCCGTCAGGCCGTTCAGTCTCTTCCTTCCAGGCAGCGAGCGAGCGAGCGCTCAGTGCAGCTTCCTGTCTTCGTTCTCACCTTGTTGCTAAGAGACCAGACCCCGCCCACGTCCAACTATGTCAATATATGTATGTATATATTTATATAGCTGTTCCAACAACCGCCCTCCTCTGCGCCGTCCGCACAGAGACTCCGCCTCCTCCTCTTTAGTGATGAAATAAATGGAGAGATTACAAAGTCCAGTCTGTTCCACCTGACCTCCCCCTGAACCCCCCCCCCCACACACACACGCCGCCATCGCTCTCCTACAAACACCCGCTTCAGTCTGTGGCGGCGGAGACGCTAAAAACAGGCGCCCGACCACGCCCAGCAGACGTCCCCGAGGTCTGGTTATTTTTTTAAAATCGGTCCTAAAGAAAGAAAAAGTTCTTCCAGATGCGAGAGGAGGCGGGGAGGAGTGGCGTCTGTCCAAAAGCAGGGGGGGGCAGAGGTGGCGAGGGGGGTGGGGGTGGGGTTATGTTCCTCAATGTTCAGATTTTCCGCAGGTTGAAGGAAACCTGGCGGTTTTGGCGCGTTGCACCGCGTTTGAAGAGATCCCGCGCCCTCCGATCCAGGAGGGGCTTCACCGCTCCTCGACAGCCGAGGGGGGGTGTGGGTGGAGTCTCAGCCTCGTTGGGGGGTCGTGTCGCCTCCCCAGCTTCCACCGTTTCTCACCGGTTTAATTTTCCTTTTAAGTCGGAGCTCGTCTTCGTCAAACTGCGTTTTTTTTCCTCCCCTTTTCTCCAGGTGGTGGGTGTCACTGACGTCAGAACACAAAGCGCCGCCCAGGCCGGCCGTTCAGTGAGGCGGGTTCATGGCGCCGTGACCTCGCTGCTGCTTCTGTTTCTGCTGCAGGAGGAGCTGCTCCAGCGCCGACGGGCCGGGCTGCATCATGGAGCTCGACCAGATGGACTGAAGGGAGGAGCAGAGAGAGCGGAGCGTCACACATCAGAGCGCCATCAGAGCTAAAACTGCAGCATCTATGATCTACAGATCTACGTTGAAAAGACAACTGGACTTACTCGAGACGTTTCGCCTCCTCAACGAAACGATTCGTTGACGTCGTCGACGTAATCGAGTACAAATATTCGTCGATGTAAAAAACGTGTCGACGCGGCGCATGATGACGTAGACAATGGCGACTTCAGGTAACGGTGGAGGCGTGGACGGCAAGCGAACTCCACCTGGCGCTGCTTTCATTCAAGGACACATGCAGTGACCTGTCAATCAAATAACCCTCCGCTGGTGCAGCAAACGCCACAGTGAACGCCGCATCATCCGCCCTGTTTCCCATAATTCACTTCATCAGTTCGCTCGGATTAAAGGGTCAGTTTGTGTTTTTAATTAACCGATAACTCGATAATTGATCAGCTGTGATCGACGATGATCGCACGCTAATGCGAATACTCGGCGATCACGAGCTCCGCCGCACAGATGTTTACTGACACACGAGTCCGAGGTCGAGACACGCAAGAAAAAATCTCTTTTTTAAAGTGGCGGTGCGTCATGATCGATCGCATAAAGGAGAAACGCCGTTATCGAACGCCGTGTTGTACTCAGCGATGTAAACAAACTCTGTTGACAGAATTATGCCGACCACGGCCCACAATGCATTGTGACATAATGTGCCTTTTTGGTTGGTTGACTTTCTCAATATCAAATCAAAGATGGTCTGAATGTTTTTTAATCGATCAATAAAAAAATAATCGTCAGGTGCCGCTCTCGTCTCAACTCAGTCCAGTTGTCGTTTCCATGCGGAGATTCCCGCTCCAGAGTCATGTGACTAACCTGTTGGACATCGTTGGTTTAAAATCATCTGAAAACCATAAAAATCGGTTTTATTTCCGATCTTTTTAACCCTTAAAGGTCCTTTAAACTTCGTCCCTCAGAGTTCGGAGTTCGAGTTCTTAAACTCTGATTATAGTCGGACTAACGTGTTTACATGACCTTCAGTTGTCCGGTCTTCATCGGAATAAGGCGATAATTCGGTTTTTCTTGGTTGTCGTGGAAACGGACTGACTGTTGCTGGTTTGAACCTCATTGTTATAAAACCTGCAGATCTAAAACCCTCTAGATGCTGAGACTCGGACTGAGAGGATGTTTTCGAACCTTGAGGCTGTCGAGCAGCACGGTGGAGGACGACTCCTCCATCGGAGACTCCTGATTGGTCCAGGAGCCCGTGGTTGGTCCGGTCTGATGCCAGCTGGTGTCTGAGGCTGCAGAAGAGGCTGCAGCTGGTAGGTAGTCCAGACCGAACCCGCTGACCGCCCCTGAAAGAGAGTCTGATGGTTAGATCTGGGTCCTCCTGTGAACCCTGACCCCCCTGAACCCCTTAAGCTCCTCCCCTCCCTCACCGGTCTTGTCGGCCTTCCAGCGGTCCACCACCCTGCGGTCCCGGCTGTCCGGGGTCCCGATGGGCCCAAAGTTGGAGAAGGGCATGGCGCCGTGGTTATGGGTGGGCGGGGAGGATGGCAGGCTGCTGGGGTTGGAGGAGTGAGGGGATTGGCTGGCCGGGGTCGAGTGATCTGCCAATCAGAGGACAGCTTACATCAGAGCCGAGTCTCCCTGAAGGAGAAGACTTCAGACCCGGTCCACACAGGCGGGACTTACCTGAGCTGGCAGGGAGGGAGGGGGACCAGGGGGTCCCCTCAAACAGGGAGTAGAGGGACGGCTCCTGGTGCATCATGGGAGCGTCGGGCTTGGAGCTGGGGGGCAGGTTCTTGCCGTAGGCCTGGCTGAAGATGCTGTTCTGGTTGAACTCCTGAAGACAGAGGGAGAACTGTGAGCCCAGGTCAAAGGTCAAAGAACAGAGGGGTCCTTTCAGGGGGTCCTGGTCTAAGGAGAGGGTCTACAAAGACCTGATGGACAGTATGGACTCACTGGACCGGTCCAAAACCAGAACACAAGAGGACTATTCTCAGACATGGATCTACAGAATCAGAGGCTCAGACGAGCTCCTGCTGCCCTCTAGTGGCCGTTTTCAGAGACCTCATTACTAAAGTTTAAGGGTTTAGACCTGAACCAGGAACCCTGATGATCCTCCCCAGACCCGGGTCTGAGGAGATACTGAGGAGGAGTTCTGTTCTCTGAAGATCTGAGGAGTCTGACCTGCATGGGGAACCCAGAGATGGGCAGAAGAGAGGACTGGCTGACCACCTCAGGTCCACTCTCCATCCTGGTCTGGTTTGGCAGCTGCAGAGACAGAAGACAGACGGGGTGAGGAGGACACACAGTCGCTCCTCGATGTGACATCTTTGATTTTTGACATGAACTTATTTTAAAGGTTTTAAAGATGTCGAATAAAACGGGAATGATGGATCTTCATGAGGGAAACTTCACAAAGATCGATTCAGTTTGATCTGATCAGGATTAAAGTACGAGAGGATCTAACCGTCCACTCTTCAAACACCAGGAACCTTGGACCGAGAGTCAGGTGATCAATCAGGGTCTTTATTTTAATATGGATTAGGATTATAACCCCCCCCCCCTCATAAATATATAATAATCCAGGCTGAAGAAAACTGAGTCGTCGGTCTGATCTCAATCATAACGTCAAACTTCAACATCATCATCGTCATCACAGGAGAGCCTGGGAGCACGAGGAGGGAGAGGAGGAGAGGAGGAGAGGAGGAGAGGAGGAGAGGAGGGGGAGAGAGGAGGAGAGAGGAGAGGAGGAGAGGAGGGGGAGAGAGGGAGAGAGAGGAGAGAGAGAGAGAGAGAGAGAGTGAGAGGAGAGAGAGGGGGAGAGAGGGAGAGAGGGAGCACGAGGAGGGAGAGGAGGAGAGAGAGAGGGAGGGAGGGAGGGAGGGAGAGGAGGAGAGAGGGAGAGAGAGGAGGAGAGGAGGAGAGAGAGAGGGAGGGAGGGAGAGGAGGGAGAGAGGGAGAGAGAGGAGAGGAGGAGAGGAGGGGGAGAGAGGGAGGGAGGAGGAGAGGAGGAGAGAGGGAGAGAGAGGAGAGGAGGGGGAGAGAGGAGGAGAGGAGGAGAGGAGGGGGAGAGAGGAGGAGGAGGAAGGGAGAGAGGAGAGAGGAGGAGAGAGGAGGAGAGGAGGAGAGAGGGAGTGAGAGGAGAGAGGGGGAGAGAGGGAGAGAGAGAGAGAGAGGAGGAGAGGAGGAGAGAGGGAGAGAGAGAGAGAGAGAGAGAGAGAGAGAGAGGAGGAGAGAGGGAGAGAGAGGAGAGAGAGAGAGAGAGAGAGAGTGAGAGGAGAGAGAGGGGGAGAGAGGGAGAGAGGGAGAGAGAGGAGGAGAGGAGGAGAGAGGGAGAGAGAGGAGAGGAGGAGAGGAGGGGGAGAGAGGAGGAGAGGAGGAGAGAGAGAGGGAGGGAGGGAGAGGAGGAAGAGAGAGGAGGAGAGAGGGAGAGAGGAGGACAGAGGGAGAGAGAGGAGAGAGGAGGAGGAAGAGAGGGAGGGAGAGAGAGAGGAGAGGGGGAGAGAGAGGGAGAGAGGAGGAGAGGAGGAAGAGAGGAGGAAGAGAGCGGAGGAGAGAGGAGGAGGAGGAAGGGAGAGAGGAGAGAGGAGGAGAGAGGAGGAGGAAGAGTAGGCAGGTGTGTCTGAAAAGCAGAGGTTCAGCTCCTCCTCCTCTGAGTTTTATCTCCAGAATAAAGTTTCAGTTCTCAGTTCAGTTTTTATCATGTTGTCTCTTGGAGGCGATCACATCTACAGATTAATTTGATTATTTATTTAGTTAATCATCTTTGATCAGATTTGACTTTAACGTTTTGTTCTCATCTGTTCTTAGAAGAGCTCAGAGTCGTTCTGGACGACAGAACAGTGTTTCTATTTTGGTTTCTCACGATCATAAAAACATTATATGTGAAGAAAACGATTAACTCGCTGCATGGTGCTGCGTGTTTGTAAACTCCTGTGCTGTAAAAACTAGTGATGCACGATATGAAAAATTTCAACCGATACCGATAACCGATAATTTTCTTCTTCTCATGGCCGATACCGATACCGATACCGATAAATTCATATTTTTACATTTATTATAATCTTCATATAATCTGCAGTTTGTGCAGGATGCAGCGATTAAAAACTAATATTTTTGTTGCTCTGGCCTATCTAGAACAACAAACAAAAGTTTTTGGCTCTTCAAATGTGGTCATTTGCTATAAATAACAATAACAGAGCAAAAAGCAGAACTTCATTTGATCCCCTGAACTGTTCAACAGAACTGTAAACTGTAAAGGAGCTATTATGAGCCGTTAGGCTTAGCATGCTGACCGGACTAACATCTGACGTCCATATGTCTGTGGTAAAACTCACGTGTAGTCCGTTCTTGTCGATCAGGTTGTGAATGTTTGTGGCGACAATATCATAGAGTGCAGGAAGAGACACATCCGAGAAGAAGCGGCAGCTTGGGAGAGTGTAACGTGGCTCCAAGTGTGCTATGAACTTAGGAAAACCCGGGTTCTCAACGACGGAAAAAGGCTGGTCGTCGACCGCTATGAACTCCATCACTTTGTCGTTAATGGCTTTAGCCTTTTCGCTGTCTCTTGAGAAGCTTTTGCAGTTTTTAAACGCCTGCTGAATGGGGACATCGATCCTCCGTAGTGTTGTTGTCTTAGCTTTAGTACCGCTAGCAGCTTCGGCGGCTGTCTCATATTCTTTTACTACCGCTTCGCCGCGATGGCGACTTTTCAGATGAGCTATCAGATTCGTTGTGTTAATACTTGACGTCTTCTTTCCTCCTCTAGGAATCCTCGCTGAACAGGTTTTGCATATAGCAGCTGTTGTCATCTTCTGCCACTGAGAGAAACGACCATGCTGGTGAAGACATTTTATTATCTGTCAGGTAGTGACGGGGTCAGGCTTGGGACCTGCGAGTAAAGCTTGATAGACGACGTGACCAGCGCGTCTCAGACGGGCGGCTACTCCGCCTGCAAACGTTACTCATAATTTCATTAATATATCGGATCTTTCTATCGGAAAAATGCACCTATCGGACCGATAAAAAATGACGTAATTTTCCCCCAAATCGGCCGATATTTTATCGGTCCGATAAATATCGTGCATCCCTAGTAAAAACACCTTAAATCCACCCCTGTTAACGTGCAGCAGCAGCAGGTGTGTGACGTGAGGATCAGTGATTGAAAACTCGGCAGAAAGGCAGCGTTTGGTCGAGACTCAAAGGTAGAACAACTTCAGTTATCAGGAAACATTTCAGCTTCAATCTGACGGAGGTCGAGCAAAAGGAAAAAGTTCTCGTCGATCACTGAGCTGATTTATTTTTTTTTCTTGTTCTTTTGTTTGTTTCTGTTATTTTAAGTTTTATTTAAAGTTAAGTTGATGGTTCAATAAAAACTCAAGTTTTGAAATAACTGAATAATTGTTCTTATTGATCGTGAAATTTAATATCAGTCAAAATAATCGTGATTATTGTTTTTGTCATAATCGTCCAGCTCTCGACTCAGAGGGTCTTAAAGTCTGATGAAGATGTCTGATGATGAGTGATCATGTTTAATAATCCTGATATATCAATGAAAATGTTTGATCGTCATTCAGACACAATTATTGAACATGAATCAATAAACTGGAGTGACTCAGAGGGAGATGGGAGGAGCTGTCAGGGCGGTGGAGGTCTGGATGGAGCGGGATGGGGTGGAGGTGTTGAAAGAGGGAAAGAAGTCTACATACAAAAATGTTTGGTCCAGGAGCAGAACTAAGAGGGCCGGCCAAGGCCTGGAAGAAATCAGGAGGCTTAGAAAAGACCAACTCCTCCTCCTCCTCAAAATCTGCGAGAGTTTTTAACAGGTCAGGAGGCAGGAGAGGCGAGCTCTTGGAGTCCTGCTGAGAGA